ATATTATGCGGTTTCAGCAAATATTTTTTAATAGAGTTCGTATTCTGTTTAAAATATCTGCACCTTTTGTTTATAGTGTAAAATCAAACTATGTTTAGGATCAAAAAAAATAAGTTTGCATTGTAATTTTATGTCAAGATTTTTGTAAGAACGAGTTTATGGTTTATTAAGTATGAAATATTTATACGTATGGTTTTGCAGATAGCGCAAGAGATACGAATTCATAGGAAATTACAACATAAGCACATCGTACGAATGGATGGTTTTTTTGAGGATCACGATAATGTCTACATTTTATTATAGCTGTGTCCTCGTGGAGTTCGTCTTAACATTTCAAAAGTTTTAGCTTTTTAATAGAAATCAGATTTTCAGTAGTAATGACAAGGATGACAGTTGTTCAAAAAATTATATCTTAAGTTACTCGTTGAAGTTCTGAATTGTATTTCACTTTAGGCGTTAATTTTACAGAGTGTTCGTTTATTATGTGTATATTTCAGTCTTTGATGGAACTGCATAAAAGACGAAGATCTGTCACTGAACCAGAAGCGCGTTATTTCATGGGACAGGTGAATTTTGTGGAAAACAAATGTCGATTTTTGAAGATCATTTCGCATGAGAAAAGTTGTACTATTACTGTATATCAAACAGCAATATTGAAAAGAAATTCGTTGGCAACTCAGAAGATCTTTTTGGTCATTTGTGCTTGGGTTTGGGCACTAAGTCTTGCAAATGAACGCCATCATAGAACATTTGAAAAAACAGATTGGATGGAATTGTGAAGCAGTCTTTTCATACTAATAATGTATCACGCTGCAATTGAATAAAATATGTGTGGGAACATTTAAAACATATATTTACTCTGATTTCTTTGCATTTGTATCACTAAATACATAAAAGAATATTGACACTGGTTTGTAACATTTAAATACGGACTTTTCACTTCAGTAATGGAAATTTGATTTTTACATCAGTTAGAATGAAGTACTTTATGCTGGAAATCATAAGACATTCCGAATTTTACACAAATATTGATTTTCAGAAGATTAAATGCAGCAGATTCTAATAAAAATACATAATTAGCTCCTTTGAATAAAGCAAATATGAAGAATATCGCATACAAGCAGGAACAGGGAAAGACACACATGAGGGACGGAACAGATTCTGAACAACAAAGCAAAACTAGGAACTCACAACTGACAACACACATGCGAAGGGAGGCACACATCAGAGACATCACAGACACGAGGTACTAGACACACAAAAAGGGCAGCACACGCATTTGGGACTACGCACACATGACGGATAACACATACGGGACTGAGCACAAACATGAGATAACACACATATACGGGATTAGCCACAGACAAGGGATAACACACGCACGCTGGACTAGGCACAATTAAGGAGTAACACACGCGCGTGGGGATAAGAACACATAAATAACAACAGAGATGCGAAACAACGAGGAATTCTTCCTTCACATCTAGCACCTCTCCTGGTCACTTCCTTCGTGTGGTTTCGATTCCATAGACGGTGTGATTTCAGATGTGATCATTCTGCTGGCACCAGGTTCCGGTACACTGGCATTATGTTCTTTTGCACCTTTCACATAGCTTTTCCCACCCGCTGTTTTTGCATTGTTATCATTTAATTCCAGATGCGGACTTTTTCTTTTTAACCTCCATTTTATGTTCGTTGAACACAGCCGCTCAGAGCCAACCGCCCAGCACTTTGGCAAGGCCGAGAAGTTTTATCATAAATAATAATAATAAATAACTACGAATAATAGCAAGTTAATAATATTAGAAACCAGTGACTTAATAATGCAACGAAAAAATTATTATTATTATTATTACTATTAGTAAGTTAGTATTTTCAATACTTATTTATTAATTATTATTATTGTTATTATTATACTAATTATATTATTTTTTTACTGCCGCTCTAATTTGTAGTTCTATTGAAAATTATGACAACAAAGAATGTGACAAAAACTGAACTTGTTTTATGTAAGCATCAAAAAATATATTAAAATCAGTAAAAAATAAGGTGAAAGTGCACACAGCTTTTTGACACTTTGCTTGACTAATATTTGATATTGTTATATTCGTGCAATTGAGTTTACAGTAATGCAAAAATGCAAGCAGTATTGAAATGGAAGATATCGCTTTAACGTCATTATGCTCGTTCAAAACTTATACTGTGAATCCACGTGTATTTCTGATTGTGCATACTTTTCATTTTTGATATTCTGTAGAAATTGAATTTTTACGTAACTACAACTAACTACACCTAATTTCAATAATTAGTACTTGTTGAATAAATCAACCAAGGTAAGTCATAATTTTACCTTACTTTCGCTCATTCATTCTCTTAATTTACATTTTCATGAAATTTTCATTCCTCGGTGATGCGTTTTGTTATACTAACTTTATGAGTAGAAAATGGCAATGTCTTTTGTTCTCAGATTTATTTTCAAAAATGCAGACAATTCCAACTACCATCTTAGTTATTTTACAAATAATAATGATCGGATGAGATTACAAAAATTCAAAGTTTTCAAAGCAATCTATTGCTTTCTTTTATCATTCAAAATACAGTAACTTATTTTGCTGTAGCAAAGCTATGAATTATTAAATCACTCACAAACACTATCAGCAAATGTTTATAATTCGTCTTTTTTGCTGACCTTCACCAATTCTACTTGATAATGTAAATATACATCGTTTTTGATTTTTTCTGCAGTTCCTATTTCACCTTTAGCTGAAACAGTTTATTGTTAATGTCAAAGCTTTCAACATGAACAGTATCTAATGAACTAATGTTACAATATACTTGCACAATAAATTTTTCTTCACCGTAATAATAACGAAAATAATAACAGTATCCATGCATTAGGTCTTTTTGTAATCTCTTAACTAAAACTAAATATTAGTACTTATTTTATCGCTAACCTAGTGAGGGTGGAATGTCTATCCTACGCTTTTCTCCCTGGCACATCCCATTTACGGCTCGATCTAAGCCTTCTATGACCTGAAAAATTTGCACAAATTTGATTCCAAAACAATTGTATATTATTTACTTTTGTGTATCTCACTTCAAGTTGTCCTTCTTAATCTCTCGAATCTTGACTTCACAACTTGTTCTTTTTTACTCCTTCTCGTAATCTTAACTAATTTATGCGATCCTTTTCAGTGAAAATAAATAGCAGTCAGTAATTAAAAATTGTAGAAGTTCTTGGGCATTACTATAGAAAATATTGTGAGCATGACGAATTACAATTTCAATAACACTAGTAATATCTGTGAAAATTGAATCATGAGATTCATTCATCTACTTGTATATGAGAGCGAGAAAAAAACCAACCCTCCCATATCCTAGCATAAACTGGTAAGGTTCTCGAGTTTTTGTTGAATCGACAAATGTTCCATCTTGGAGAAAAAGAGTGAAGTGAATCTGAACCACATCTCCCGTCTTGGCTTGTTTGCATAAATAATCATCAATTTTATGAAGTACCTAGAAATTGAAAAGCAAATGCAAAAACAAGAATGTATCTTGTGAAATAGAAACTTGTGCAATGCGATAATGTAAAAATTTCAAGAATCAGCACTCAACTGTGATTTGCAAGCCATCATCATCAAGCCAACGTTCACCGGGATTATACTTCTGAATACTTTTTAATTCAAGTAGATAATACAGCGTAGCATCTGAAGCAATACCATCGACTAAGTGGCCATCCATTTCGGAAGCTTCCCTTGGCGGAATTACAACGCGACGTCGTTCACCTTCACACATTCCTGTCATGGCTGTATCCATTCCTCGAATTACTTCTCCATTACCCAACATGAATTTAAACCTAAATATTATATCATACTTGGCTAAATCTCTTATCATACCAATTATTCATTCATCGCTGCAAAACTTTCAAACATACAAAGATAATCATCTCAGAAAGCTTTTTCCTAAATTATTTTTTAGTCTTACAAATCAAAATTATCCACTATAGCAATAAATTTATTCATTTTTAATCAAAAAACTTTAGCGAAAATTAGAGTATCTAATTAATATTTTTTAAGTTTCGTAAATTTAAAATGTGCTCATTTTTTTTGAAAGGAACCTAACAATGTAATTATTCCATATTCTAACTTTTAAACATAGCACGTGCCCTTTTTGACGTAAGAGATTACGCCAAGCAAATATTTCTGTGAAAAATTCTTCAAAAGATTTATCAAAAACGAGTAACAATTGAGAACACTTCTTGTTCACATTATAACGCATCAACAAAAACAATCATTATTAATGGGAAAAAAAGTACTTCTATAAATTTCAAAAAAATATTTCCATAAATTCAACCTACGGTTTTTCACCAAAATTTGTTCCAATTAGTCTTCCTCTTTCATCTGTTAACCTGTAATACTGCTCCAGCGTATCGCCTGCTTCACTTTTCATCGTGCATTCTTCGTCTAAGTTTTCCTTCTCATTTTTTTTTCAACAAAAAATATTGCATTGATGCAAATTATCAAGTTTTCTTACAAAAATACTAATAATCGCGATAAAATTCATCTGACAATGCTTGAAATTTATAATTTCTGTAAGAAAAATACCTGAGATACTTTTAACAATTTCAATTTCTACGCCATCTTCATCAATCCATTTTCTCGCATATACTGTACAAGCATCAACAAACATGCCATACAGCAATACCTTTAGAGCATATTGAAATTGCATTGTTCAGTTACCTGCTAAATAACACGATTAAATTAGTTGATCATCAAGAAGCCAGAATAAGCTAAATATTAATGTGTCAGTATTGTAAATACTTTAGTTGATAGCAAATCTTATTGGTAGCCAAAAATATTTACAATTCTTGAAATGATTTTTTTTACGATTTACAAAATTTATAAGTATTATTCGATACATCATCAGAATGATCAAGAAAAAAGCACTGATAAATTGATTAGAACTAAAAATTAATTAAACAAGCAACTATTAATGAGCAACGAGAATCGCTTCTTGCAAGATTACATTAGAAGAAACCAATTTTTTGTTATTATAGGTAATACTCCCACCGTTTCAAGTTTTCATTCTCAAACAAGACAAACCAGTATTTTGTACCTTGAATTAATAATGCAGCATTGGACACAACTCTCTTAATAATACTATATTAATCTAAGTTAACTTAACTTTTTGCTGTACAGTACTTAACACAACAGGTCTATATATACTTCGTTCATATTTCCTCATGAAAACGTAGGAAAGAAAAGTTCAGAACGATATTGAAAAGTACCAGATCTTTGTATACCAGATCCATTTATGGCAATCCTTCAAAGGGTTAAATCAAAATTGATATACACAGATAAGCTTGTTCTAATAGTTATTCATGTACTTTTGATAATTATTGTGACATAATTAATTAATTAAACCAAAACTGTATATCTGACATGTCAGTAAGGGAGTGAAACAAGTTCTTGCATATTTTAGTTATTAAATTAATTACAGTTGCAGTTCATTCACGTTGGTACGTACATTCATCTATTAATGCATTTCTTGTATTCTTTATTTTTCTGCTCTTTGAATTTAGCAAATATTTATATCAAATCTCGAGTGAAAAAAACTAAAACTTCTTAGACACTAGGCTAAACACTCCAACGGCTCATCAAGCTCTTTCCATAATTAAACAATTCATGATACATATTATCAGTTATCACCTATCTATGATAATAAGGTCAAATAGCAGATCAAAAAGAGATTGGTTACTGAATGCCCTACTGCGAACACTAAAAGAATCAATTTTCAGTCAACTCGATGTGAAATCATGTTGAAGTGTGGATTAAAAAAAATACATCAAATTGGTTTGTGAACAAATTTCCAATCTGACCCATTTTTGATCAATAAAAAATGTACAAGATATCGAGTTATCCGTCTATATGACATTTTAAAATAGTCATTGGCAAAGTACTGTTTGCAAAATTATTTTGCAGTTCTAATTTAACAGTTTACAAACCACTCAAGATTCTGAATGCTCCTTACTACTCAACATATCTTCTTCAGTTCTCAATTTGTGCACTAGTTATGTGCTGTGTGCTAGTAAAAGCGCTTACTTTACTTCATACAAGTCTGAAATAAAATTTGCTAGTTTTACTTTTCAACTAGACTAATACTTATAACAAAATTATAAAAGTATGTCTAAAATGTAAAAAATTGAAAAATCTTCGGTATATTTGGTGATATTCCGCTGAAATGAATTGCTTTTATGC